CTCTCTCTCTCTCTCTCTCTCTCTCTCTCTCTCTCTCTCTCTCTCTCTCTCTCTCTCTCTTCGTCGTTGTCTTCTGTGCAGGTTCGCGGCACCCTCCTTCAACGGCGCAGCCATGGCTATGGCGCCCGACTATCAACAACGACGATGGCGCGTGGAGCAACGGGAACCAGCTCTGATACCAATGCAATCAGACTCGCTTTCTTCTTCAGTTCTCATACATGCAAACAGATGGTGACTCACGCTGGCGCACAGCGCCCACTCAAATCTCAGAGATATGGAGACTGAGAACACAGTTCAGATGCAAACTTGCTTCAACAGCTCTGGCGCATCAGCGCCTGTACATCCCAACTCTCGATACTGTATCCAACACCACTGTTCGCACACACTCAACTCTGGATCACCCTGAATACTCCCCCGCATGCATTCACTGCATCACCCACTTGCACACCCTCGCTAACTCCTAACACTAGCTATGGTGGATATGGACGCCGGCTACTACTGCCTATGAGCACTCTGCCCTCTTCAGCCCACTTCGACTTCGGGGAACCTGAAGACCACCTTGCACAGGATGCTGAGCCAGCGCTTCCACATGGCTTAAGCAATGAATGAATGAATGGCTGCTCGCTGCCTCTTGATTTATACTTCTGTAAGTAGTTGGTCTTCCCTTTTCCACCGGGCCCATGCTGCACACAGTCCCTCATGGTACTTGCTGACTGTGCACCGTGAGACTGGGACTGGGTACCACTGACTAAGCGAAGCTGGACTCGCCACTTGCCCACTTGCCTCTGACTAAGCGTGAGAAACTCTCGAAAGGCCACTTACGGACCTCCGGAAGTTTGTGGACTTGGCCTTTCGGGACTGTAGCAGCTACGACCTTGACCTTTCAGGACTGTAGCAGCTACGACCTTGACCTTTCAGAAATGCTACAGCGATGACCTCTACACAGCTATGACCCCTACTCGACAGACCTACAGATCGAACCCCTACAACTACACAGACTTACGACAGACAACAGCCAACTACCAAAATACAGGTCGCAGGTTCAAACACTCAGGGGTCGACTCGATACTGTACATGGGCAAGGTAAGGTCTGGGGATTGAACTCTAGGGCCTGCATCTGTGACTGCAAAAAAGGTGAAAACCGTTTCAGCGCCACAACTTGCTGCAGCGGGTTACCACTGTTGACTAGCCGTGGCCACCAATCCTCCTCAGGCCACTGAAAGTGACAACAACGGGAATAGAACCCAGCACCTACGAAGTGCCGCTCAGGCATGAAACCTACTGAGCTAGCGGACGGGACATCCTGGAGATGGACTTCAATTCCCATCCGTTAGAGATTGGTTTCAACTGTGAGATCATGCAGTCAGATTTTTTGGTCTGTGACTCTGTGAGAGCAAAGAAATCGTGGAAAGGGGCTTCAGTTTTGCTCCTTCTGGAGTTGAAGAGTGGAGCACAATCCCAATCTCGTCCCTCTTTGGAGGTTGTCTCCTTCTTTCCCTCCTCTTCCTTCTTTTCCCTATTGTCTTCCGATTTCTTTACCTTCTTCAGGAGTTTGCGTTTTTGTCTCCATCCCCTCCTCGTCTTTCTCCACCTCCTCCTCCTTCTCCTCCTTCTCCTCCTTCTCCTCCTCCTCCTCCTCCTCCTCCTCCTCCTCAGCCTCCTCCTCTATCTTATCTTGCCCTTGGTACTGAGCTTCGACGGGAAGAGAGAGGTGGGTCCATGCAGGGAGGAAGTGGAGGTAGGAAGGGACAAGGAGACGATGGAGTTGGAAGGGGCAGAGGGGGCAAGAAGGGGGGTCGAGGTATCTTAGTGGTTTGGATCGTGGACAGAAGAAGGTGGGGGAAGGGGGGAAGAACTCTACCTGGTCGGCCGTTGAGCTTAGGGGCTGGGATGTTGAGTCTGGGAGTGGTTCGGAGGGGGGCCAAAGAGAGACGGAGAGAGTGATCGACGTTGTCCTTGGCACGTAATTTAGCATAAAATTGCCCTAAATATATAATCTGGGCTCGTCGATCATCTTCAGTAGTCTTTTCCTCAGGGTTCTTTTAGGGTTTTTTCTGGCTTAGGTCATCCATTACTCATAGTCCAGGATAGTGAATTTCCTCGACATACAATCAAACTCAAGTTTGTAAGTAATATTCCACGCCAGATCATCTCAAAACCCAAATTCCAGAAATTAGTCTTTATGTGGCTTTCACGATTACATTGTAGTTCAAATACAGATAGTAATTTCTTGAGGGTCTTCTTTCAGCTTCAGTTCTATAGATTGAAATCAATTATCATCTGTTTTTATCTCGCACTTTCTCCTATATGTATGCTCTTGGGATTAGATACAAGTGGATCATCCTGCTTAACTGGTGCAGTCCCTTCACTCTGTTTTAGTCTGATGAGTTCATTCAGATCATCGTTAGGCTTAATCATGACAGAGTGTTTAGTGCAGATAGCCGCAATCTCTTTTGGCCACCACATGTTTCAATTTGGCATTCATGAGAGATGCCGGATCGGTTTTCCAGTCGGGCGTGATTGCTCGCCAAAGCCAAAGCCGGGAAGTGGCCTTGGTATCATCTTTGTATCCAATTGTATAATCGGAGCCTCGGGCATTGGGCTCATTTGAAAGAACAAAAAGGAAAAACATAACAAAAGGGAACATACCATCAAATGATGTCACCTTGTTGTCACATGGCTTCATATCAACTTCAGGTTTGTGGTCGTCTACCACGGCTGTCCGTGCACTCTCCTTCCTGGCTCCAGCTCCTCGAATTGCCTCAAAAGTGTTGGCCACAACAGAGAGTGTCTCAATCATACGGTTGAATGTCATTTTATCATCATCTTTCCCCAAGACTGCTACCTCTGCTGGAGGGTAAGACTTCTGGTCACTTGCATACTGATCCGAAGGTGTACCTTCTGGACTGATTTCTGGGATCTCCTTGACTTCCGTCGAAATTACTGCAGCCTCCTTGGTTGCTGATACAACTACTTGATCAGAATCCTTCCTTTCATCAACAGTGGTGCGCATGTCCAAATTATCTCTTGGCATGCCTGAAACCTGTTCCAGAGAAGAATGTTCCCGAGTAACTTCACTGAATGAGTGGGCATCAACATGATGAACGGTGTCTACGTGGACAGTTTCAGCAGGGGGATGATGCACTTGCCCTGTGAGTAGTGCACTAGTAGACGGTGGTCCAACAACTCCCATGAATGCTACAGCAGTAGGATCATGCTCAGGCTGCGGTAATCTATGCTCGGCGTGGATGGTCTCAATGGAAAAAACAACCGATGATTCTGAGTCCACCTCGCTCAAGGGTTCTGCCTTGATCACTTCCTTAACATCTGCTCTTTGCTTGAACCAAGGTCTCTGGAGTTTGTGAGAAAGCTCTGACGTTGGGGGAGTCGGTTCAGCAGCAGAGGGTACTCCACCTGAAGATCCCTGGCTCATAGAATCCACCCTCTTCACATTTGATTCCACTGTTTGTATATCAGTATCAGTTGCAGACTGAGGGGCTTCAGCTTTCGTCTCTGCAGCAGGAGCTGTGGACAATGCAGAAAATGTCTTCTTGCCCATCTTAAACCAATTAGTGAACATTGTTGACATGCTTGGAACCTTACCCGCCTTTTCTGACATTGCTTCCTCGTCCTGTAATCCCTTTTCTGAGACAGCCGCTCCTAACTTGTTTGTGTCTCCAGCAGAATGGTCTTGAAATCGTGGAGATTCGCTTTTTGCACCCTCATGACCTGCAGTACATTCCATAGATCCATTTTGTTTTCCAAGTTACAATCTGAGGAAAAAATCCCCCCAAAAAAAGATGAGGAATAATCCCAAGTGTTAGGTGAGAGAGGACACAGACTTTCCACCTCGATTCCCAGATGCCAAATGGTCCTTAACATGTCAAGCCAGCTTGTCACTTCCTGAATAACAGGCCATAAAGGGAATCCTCTCCAGAAACGCCAGTGAAGAGGTAGAGGCTCTTTCCATCGGTTTGGGGGACACAGAAGAAGGCAAGGGATTGTAGAGAGTGGCAGAAAGAAGGAAGCAGAAGTGCAGCACCCAGGCGAGTCATGAAGAATAGAATACCGAGACATCCTGCTTGAGTTCTGCGTGTATCTAGCCAATAAGAGAAAGAACAGGTTGTTGTGATCGCTTGGCAGAGTAGTGTCCCTGCAGCCAATCATAACGGTGTCCATGTGCGTGCCAAGCATGTATGGGACACTTAACCCGGTTTCCATCTTTTAATCAAGAAAAGCCTTTGTAAGAAAAAAAAGAAGAAAAAAAAGAATGGGTTGTTATGAATAAGGCTCCAGGCAGTAGGTCTTCCTAAGGATGAGTCAATGCCCTCCAGGGGATCTCTCAGCCGTAACTGAGGGAGAGTAAGGATGTCTTTCATTTGAATTTATACCCTTACCGGCAGAATAAGAACCAAATTGATGCTCACTAGTAGAACCAGGATCACCCAACCCGTGTACCTGATGATAAACAGGTCATGAATTTGAATCCTCATGGCATCAGATGCACACGATATTATAGCAGTTCTAAAAAGAAATTGCCAAGATTCAGCCGAACCAGATCAGGATCGAAGTTGCAGCAGCAAGATTCACACGATAAAAGCACACACAGAACTTATAACTTGAATCATATACACAGGTTTCTCAAGATCATGACGAAGGCCGGCAGAAAAACAAAGGGCAGGTAAGTTTCTCTCTTTCTCTCTCTCTCTCTCTCTCTCTCTCTCTCTCTCTCTCTCTCTCTCTCTCTCTCTCTCTCTCTCTCTCTCTCTCTCTCGACACTACACAAGCTCACAGTTATGGCGCCCAGTGCAATCGACTACTACTCTCTTTCGCCTGGTCTCAACGTACCTTTCGGTGGCGTACTCGCGGTCAATCTTCGCAAGATAGGAGCGGAGGTCGACAACCGCTACTCCGTCGTTCATCAACAGAGCTGGTACTGCAGCCTGCAAGTAGGAATGTAGATTTGCCATCAAGGCGTTACAATGCGGCTTTGGCAACGATCCAGTCGAGGGTAGAGGCATCCAAGCGAAGTCCTCTCTCGTGAGCGGGTCAAGCTCCTCAAGTCTTGACCACGCCGTCGATTCCTCGGAAATCAGTGGCGAACTGACCGATTCACTTGCCGACCGGTGTACAAGTTGGACATACGCTATCTAAGTGCACGTGGCTGGGTTGGTCCAATGGTGGCATCAGCTGGGCGGCATAATCCTCGTATATATCATGAGAATCAGCGACTAGCGCATGCTCCCCGGTAGTGATATCGGTTGCTAGCAAGGCAACCGGTTCCGGCGGAGTGAGGAGAGGCGTCGCCCCTCTCCGTGCGCAACTCAGTTTCCCGAGTTAGCTCGACGGGGTACCTTTGCCTAGCCCTTGTCCGAGCATTGTGCGGTAGTGTGGTTTACACTATTGCACCAAAGGCAATATCCGTACCGTTGACGAAGGTCAAATACTTCCTTGGGAATGTTGTATGTCGTTCATGGTTGCTGCCCAGTTCCCGTCGATGTCGTCACTTGTGTCGCCTTGTTCTTCCGAACTCTCTTGGGACGCTTCGGCAGGAGTGCTGCGACAACTCCTCCATCACTCGAGGATGCTGCTGCAGCATGGAGATCTATCGATTCGTCAGGAATCACTGCATTGTTATGCGCCAGCCGTTGGTAGCCGCGCTTAGTCACATATTGCGGCTGGGACTGCCGTTCGTTGGCGGCCTTGTCATCCGTTTGGATGACCAGGTTCGCACCAAGATTGGGATGGCACAAACTAGCCCAAGACAGTATCAGAGCCTTAGCCCCAGTTCAAACCCCTGTATACATGTACTCACAACAGATCGAAGTCCAACCGGCAACACCTTACTGGAAAGCCCTGATCAGAATCTGGAGAGGAATCATGCCCAATAAAGTGAGAAAACCCAAATCCAAAGAAGTTCTTCGCCAGGCCCTATTTGGAATGGGTGAGGGATGCAGGGGACTTACCTCTGTCTCTAGCAAATGGCAAATGCTGGCTATCATGGATCAGACACGGAGTATGGAGGGTAGACCACATCTGAGATAAAGTGAAGAAAGACAGGATCGATGAGGAACAACTGAGACATCTTTTAAACGGCTGCCACAATCGGAATAAAAATCTGACAACAGTTGTGAACAGCATCCCGGACGGATGGAAATATCTTTTAAAAAATGACTTTTTGTCAAGGCTGCATACCAGGTCCCACCGGGGCCTCTTCCCCCCACCGGAACCGGGTCGGTTGGGCCGGCCGGTGGACCGTGCCGGTTACCCCCCGGTTGCCATTTGCGCATTTCGAATGGGGGGGGGGCGTCAATTTTTTTTTGGGCCGGGAGGCCTCCAGGCCCCCAAAACAATCGGACCCTGTCCGGTAGGGCCGCCTAAATCTTGAAAAACTGGCGGCCTATCTGGACTGTCGATCTCGTGAGATCGGTGGCCCAGATAGGCAGCCTGTTTTTGAACATTCGGAACATAGGCCGTCGTTCAACCACCCTCCTGCCTCCCAACTCCCGCCGCTTTGGAGATGTGCACCCCGTTCACTTTGGACGTCGAACGCGAACGAGGTGGAGACGTTGCCGCCCAGCCCCCGTCTGCCTTAGCCTCCACAGATTCACCATCACCCTGCCCCGCCGTCGAGCTTTCCCTCCACCAATAAGCATCTTCTTCTTCTTCTGGTGAAGCTCTGGAGCGGGGACTTCTGCCCTGCGTTGGTAGAGAGAGAGAGAGAGAGAGAGAGAGAGAGAGAGAGAGAGAGAGAGAGAGAGAGAGAGAGAGAGAGAGAGAGAGAGAGAGAGAGAGTGTTGCATACTAGTGAATACTTCAACAAGTATGGGCAGAACCAAAGATTTACCAATATAGGATGAGCATGTATGCAGCGGAAGTCTGAGAAATGGACTGACTCACATAGACTGGACTCATCCAGATATCACTCAACACACAAGCAATCGGAGATGGTAGGGTCTGAAGCCAATCATAGACGATGCTTCGGGCCCCGTACAACCATACACAGATGAAAGGTGGGAGGAGAGACGATGGAGGTGGGAGGTATAGGCAGCGCCAAATGTCACCGAGATAGAATCCAGAAGGTCACCGATATGGTGGTCCAAAATGTCACTGAACGAAGATCAGAATGTCGTGGACAATAAGTCACCAATGTCGGAGGTACAAGTCCTTATGTAACCGGTGAAGTCCAAACACTGATCTCTGTCCAACTTGTATCAAAGTCTCCAATCTGAAGAAGAAGAAGAAGAAGAAGAAGAAGAAGAAGAAGAAGAAGAAGAAGAAGAAGTCTGAAGAAGAAGAGGAAGAAGAAGAAGAAGAAGAAGAAGAAGAAGAAGAAGAAGAAGAAGAAGAAGAGGGAGAAGAAGAAGAGAGTTGGGAAGAGGGCGAGTAGCCTCACACCTAACCTGCAGTTGGCAAGCTGGCGCCTTGGCTGTGGCGGGAGGCCTACTGCAAGTCGCTGGAGCTATGGCTCCCCGCTGTCTACCAGGTAAGTCCTCCTCGCTCCGCCTCACTCCTACTAGGCAGCAGTGTGCTAAGCTTAGCAGTGCTGCCCTTAGCGCTGTGCTGAACCCGAAATAGCGCAGCGCTAACGCTGGCTGCTGCTGCTGTTCCCAACCTGTGAGAATGGCCGCTGGACCGGTCTAAGTACCGTCCAGCGGCCGGTCGGCCTCGATGTTGGCCTCTTGCACCGTGGGCTGAACCGTCGAAATGACCGTTCAGCTCAGACCGGCGGGCGGCAGCCTCAAGAGCGCCGCCAGGCCCAAACGGTCATGTCGTTTGGGCCAACCTTGGTCAGCGCCAACCGGTGGCCTAACAGGGCCTACCGGGAGAAAAAGGCCTGGCCTTTGGCGAGGCCGGCCTGGGTACCCCTTGAACCAATATGTCGGGCCTGTGAAGGCCCGTGTGAAGTCGCAGAATGTAACACACTCCCCCCCTTAAAAGACCGAGCTACCTGCGAGGGCGAAGTTGTCTGTCAGATACCTGGGTGGGTTGGGTGGGACGAACTTTGTCCTTGGCAAGTCTCCGGTTCTCGTAATCGGAAAAGATGAGTGGTGCAGATGCCTGTAAGTCTGCGTGGGAGATCCAACGAGTGTCATCCGGGTCACATTGCTTGAAGGTGAGTTGATATTGCATTGGCTTGTTGCCAAACTTGCGATGCATGATGACACGGTCGACTTCCTGATGGCCGCCCATAGAGGGCGGATCCTGTGATCGTCTGCCCGGGAACTCGTCTGCGGATGGTGGCGTATAGACAGCCAGCTTCAACGCATGGAAGACCGGGTGCACGCGGAGGTGCGGAGGGATGGCAATCACCAACGAAGGACCTACAGGGTCGTCGCGTTCGGCAAAAATTACCTTCCATGGTCCAAACCATTTCGGGAGGAGTTTGCGCGAGATGTCCTACTCTAGCGCGAATTCCTCAGCGAGGACCCAAACAAGGTCTCCTTCACGGAGAGGACATGGGAGTCGACGTCGGTTAGCTTGCTGCTGCATGCAGATATGAGCCTTTTGCATGTTCGCGCGGGCTTTGATCAGCAAGTCCCGGTACTTCCGAACGGAAGCGGGAGAGCAAGCGACGTCGATGTCCGCGGCCCGTGGTAGAAGAAGATCGGCAAAGACTCGGGCTTTCTCTCCACCGTGGTGCAACTCAAATGGAGTGATCAGATCGTCGGGTGCACCGAAGTGTTATAGGCGAACTCGATGTCGGGAAGCCGGTCAACCCAATCTTT